TTAAACAGCGGCGACGGCGATGATAGCGGTGATGCTATTAATTACAATTATCTGGTCAACCATACGCTGAATTAAAAAGTGACCAAGGGCAATGTTGATGATAAATTCTAACTAAATAAAATTGCAATTGGTCATTTTTTAATTAATTGTTTTATGTGCCAGATAATTTACAGTCGACTGTTTAAAAAATTTATAAATGCAATTATCTGGCAAATCATACAATTAATTAAAAAATTACCAATTACAATTTAAGTTTAAATTTATCTACAACATTGTCCTTGGCCACTTTTTAATTCAACGTATTGTTGACCATATAATTGTAATTAATAGTTTCACTGCAATTATCGCCGCCTCTGTTTAAGATTCTCTCTATAATATTTAATAACTGTATTGTATTTATTCATTTAACTATTGAATACCTATTGTACTATAAATAAATTGTCATTTTTTTATTTGTTGTCAAATAATAGTTTATGAGATAATATTATTAATTATAATAATAAATTGTGAATGCTTAGTTTTTTGTATTTATCAACAAGTAATAAACATGTTGTTTGATCGATCTAATAATATAACTTTAGATATTATTATATTATTTATTTTAAATTATTTATTGTCACAAATTACAAATTGTAGATATTTAAATTTAATGTATATTCTTTAAATAAAATTAAAAATTATAATAATTTATTTTATTATTTTGTATATAATATTACAAAATTTAATTAAAAATTATTGATTAATATTATAATGTAAACCTTATTTATTTTTATATACATGTACTTTAAAAACTATTAGAAATAATATTTTATTAATTTTATAATATATTTTTAAGAAGATATTTAAAGTTTACAATTAGTTTAGAAGATATAAGTTTGAAAACATATAAATTTAAATATCTTTACATAAATCCATAATTTAATAATTCTTAAATATTTTGCTAAAATGTATTTTAAAATTTACAAAAATATTTACATTTCAAAGAAAAAAATAGATTTAGACAAGAATTTTAAAAACTAAAATTATATTAAAAAATCACATTTTTAAGTTTTTGAAAATATTTTACAGAAAAATGTTTAAAAGTTTAAAAATAATAACCAATAGATTTAAGACCTACAGATATCAATTGATGCCAAATAGGTAAAACTGACAAATTGTTAATAAATATTATGCTATTTAACTTATATTTTATAACAAATTTTAGCACAAATAAACCATTGCTAATTAATTTTATTTTATTAATTTGAATGAATAATACCTAAATTTTAATAAAATGTTTCAGTGTTTTTATAAGTAAAGTTTAACAAAAATTGTAATATTATATTTATATTGTAAAAATTTATTAATAATCTATGAATATAATATCTGATATATATTATTGAAGTAACTTATAATTTAGATATTTGTAATTAATAATTTTCACTAAATAAGATTAATATCTAAGTTTAATAAAAATTAAATGACCTAATATTCTAATTAAAAAACAACAAAATATTAAAAAATAACATTAATATGACATAGAATTGACGGAAATAGAAATACACAGAATATTTATAATACATATTTGTTTTTTACATTTAAATTGATTTTTATGTTTCGTTAATGTGTATGAAATTTTGGTATTAAATAAAAGCAAGTATTTATAGTTTCTTATTATTCAATATAAACAAAAATAAGTGATAAAACAAACAATAAATTCATGACATTTTCATTGAAAATTCAATTGAAATTCATAATTGAAAATTTTATTAAATTTTTGCAAATAAGAACTTTTTTTAGAAATAATTTTAAAAGATAATTTAATTATAATAAAAAATACTAATAGTAATCACAGCTTAAAAATAGATTAAGTAATAATGAATTATTAAATACTTAATTAATAAATATAATAATATATTAAAATCATAGCTATATAATTAATTTTTAATAATAATTTATCTTTTAATTAGAAGTGACTAAATATAATAAACAACTGTTTTTATATTACAACGTTAATCATTAATTAATGTTATAATTACTTACAGTATATTTAGGTTTTGGATAAAGTAGTGATCGATAAACTTAATAATGAGTTTGACTGTTGAAACAAATGTCAATAATTGACTGAATGTGTATAAAAACAGAAACAATATTGTAATTTAAAAATACTAATTTTATTTGTTTGGCAACGACTACACTGTTTTAAGTACATAAAAAATTAACTTAAACTCTATGAACATTATATTAACTTTTTTGTAGAAAAAGATTGTGTCGATTGCCTTAACAGTACAATCCTCACATCCCAGAGCTGATTGCAATGGTATTAGTCTCTAACTGAGAGAACATGTGCAATGAGTACTTACTGTATATTGTTAAACGACAAATATAAATATTACTTAACCTTTATATCTAGAAATACTGTATATATATATACCGTTATATCAATTATATAACTTACTTTATATATATCTTGTCAATGTATTGGTTTCTATGGGGCTATAGATTTGTTACTAATATATATATATATAACAAACAAAAATCAGAATATTCTGTATTATTATTTATTTGATTACAGAATTGAATAAACATTTGTGAATATTGTCTATTGGTGTTTATGTTCTAATAATAACATATTTAACATTTCAATAGATTTAAAAACTATTTTATATTTTATATAATTTTTTAAATATATATATATTATACTGTAAATACATATAAATATTATAATTACACTGCTTTCATTCAGGGCTATAATATATAGTATATAATTTAATTAAAATATTAATTAAAATAATTTTAAATTTATAATAAAATTAAGAAAACTATTATAATACATTAAATTGATAACAAATCTATTATAATTAAGTCAATTTATAACAAATTATACAATTTCATGTATCCAACAATAATTATGAATATTTTTAAAAAACATATCTTAATCAACGTGTTATGATTAATAAAGATTATTATTATTATAATTTACAATTAGTAATGAAAATATTAATTAGTAATAGTTTATTTGAGCATGATAAATGTTTTAATAACAAATAATAAGCTATGTAGGCTATTTTTTAAATTAAGCTTTTAAGCTCACTAAGGGAATATATATTAAAACATATTTTTATTACCAATATAATACAGTATACATTGTAACTAATTAAAAAATATAAACATTTTTGATTAACGTTTATAATAATTTACAAATTATTCAATTAAGTTATATAATAAGTTTAAACTCTTCATAAAAATAATAAAATTCAATATAAAAAATTCAAAAGTTTTAAGTGATTTTAAAAAATTAAAAGTTAGAGAATTTGTGTACAACTTGTATATTGTATATATGTTTGCTTGTATTTTATAAAATAAATTGTTTGTTTATACAATTTAATTAATTTATTCATTTGTTTTGTTAAGTATAGTCATATTCTTATTTGATATAAAAAGCTATTAAAACTACATATAATTTATGATAGATTTGAATTTATGAAGCAATCAATAAATATATATAAAGAATATTATCTCTAAAAGTCATAAAATGTTTCAATTTATTGACTTTTTCCCGAAGGCAGCAGTCATTCATTATGTTATCGACAAAACAAGTTATTATTGCAAATAATACAATATAGTAGATCTATAAAAACATATATTATATTGTATATTACAATTTGTATGTATTATATAAATTGACTGATATTATTATACAATGGACTTTCGTTATAGTAATGCTTTGTGATGTATAGTAAACTTTAGATATTGTGAACAAATACTGTATATCGGGTTTAGTGGTCACACTAGAGATAAAACATATTTTTATAACTCTATAGTCTATATCTCGTTATAAATTATTGTAATTTTATATTATATGTATTATTCATATGTATTATAATATATGATATTATGTTTTCTCTCTATATTGTCTAAAGTCAATATAGTGTATAAAATTACTTATAATATATAAAAATACTATATTAACATTAAAAGTACAATTGAAATAAATTTACTATTATTACACTTAAAAAATAGTAACTGTTTAGCTATAGCCTCATTTTTAGAGAACTTCAGTAAATAAATAAATAATAAAAAGTTTAATCTATAGATAGAAATAGTAAATCAACAAAAATGTTTTGAAAATGCACCTGGGTATATATCTAACTATATTGATTTGTAACATATTTTAACATAAAAACTAAATATATTGATTTTATTTTAAATTTTAAGTTACAATTCTGCTTATCAAACATATAGTGGTCAACAAATCCAATGCTATGATTAGACGGCATCAATGCTATAATAAAAATGTTATTTTTATTTCTACTATCAGGCGGAAGGTCAGAGGTTATCTGTTTTACCGTTTAATGAGATCTCATCCCAATTAAGAATAAAGTTTTTGCTATAAAATAATATTACAGTAAAGAAAACAACAGAAATTGTTTTAAAAATATTGTAAATAAATAAAAGTTATGATATCATGTTTACTATAAGTTTGTTGTAATACTCATATTACAATAAAATTATTATAATGGATGTTATTATTGACAAAATCAGGAATTATAGAAAAATAGACACAGAATAACATTAGATTAAATTATTATAATAAATTAAAGTACAGTATTTTGTAATCAAATATTGTAATTATTAATAATAGCTTATTATATCACTATTTCCGGTAATAGTATATACTGCACAATAAGGACACAGATATGACAATCAAAACAATCAATTTATTATTGACTATATTTGTTTTGAATCTATATGTAGACATTTATAATATTACGTTATTAGATTTATCAAATATAAATTATAAAACTTAATGTAAATGTAATATAAATTTATTATATGGTACAGATTTGTCTATAAATAATTTGAAATTTTCAAACATTATTTATTCAGTAATGAGTATAACAATAATATGAATTGTATTAACATTTAAGTGATACATAAAATTTAATCAAAAAATTAAGTTAATTGTATAATTAGAAAATAAATGTATTGTTATTGATGTTTAACAATTAGATCATTGACTGTTTGAACGGTTGGACTCCAATATGAGATGTCATGACAAGCGCTGGCAATCATATAAAACATTGGATTAAATTTAACGATTCGAGTGAACGCTTCGTGCATTGAACGCCAGTTCCTGGTGTGAGTAGCCGTTACGACATTAAATAAATTCAAATTACCATAATTACCGATTCCGGCAAAATTACCGCTCGAACCACAAAATATGTATTGAGAATCGGGAGTCCACGTCAGCTCCAAGTCCTTTCTTAACTCATTCTTAAAGCCATTTAATTTACATCTTTCTTGAAGTGAATAGGCGTCTACTATACGAATGGAAATGCCATTTGTGGACAGGGCTATCATTTTTCCGTTTGGCGAAAAATATAGACCATAGACATCACCTAATGACTGATCTGACTCTAATCTATTCACTTTAAACGGACCTTTCGTATAATTTCGTATATCATAGAGTCGTAAGGATGAGTCCGTCTGTAAGCTCACTGCAAAAACCAGACCCGTCGGATCAAACGAGGCCACTGATCGGCTCAAACATTTGACCACTGATAGCGACCTACGATCGCCAGGTTTAATGTTGGCATTAAGTCGACTGTCCCACAAACGGATTGTGTTATCCAAAGATGAACTTAAAAAACAGTTGTAATTTTTGTTGATTGAAATACCTGTCACCTAAAATGTATGCCAACAATGATTTAATTTACTAAAACTTCTATTATTTGAATCTAATATAAATAAATATAAGAAAAATAATTTTATAATAAAAATAAAACTTATTTTTCAATAAAAACAAATATAATCAACTTTTTTCTGATAAATAAGCATAAAATCTAAATTACAGGTAATACAAAAATAAGACTTAAATTGTTGTATTTGATTTTAAAACAAGTTTTAAAAAATGAAAAAGTTATTTCATGTAATACTTCTAATATACTGTACTTTAATTTAAATTAACTGTAATTAAAAACTTTTAATTTAAATATTAAATTTGAGTTAATAGATAGTCGACAATAATTAAGAAACATTTTTTACGATAATATCAATAAGTTATAACAAAATATCAAAATTTATGCAAAAAAAAATGAGATAAAAAATTTTAGTCATATTTTCACATAAAACCACAAAAATGACAAAATTTTAATAAATAGTCGAGAAAAATGTCAATCAAATAAATTAATTGATTCAATGATAGAAAAAATAACAAATAAATTGTGAAATCAAACCTGTCTTTCGTGTCCGCAATAGTAGTGCAGAAATGTCTTACTATTGATATCCAAATGTCTTATTTTGTGGACATCGGCGCCAATTTGCGTCTCATATCTTGAGGCAAACACACAGGTGTTGGTGTCATTCATCCAATGAATGTGATCCGATCCGTGCTTTTTGGACGGTATGACTCCCACTTCATCGCCGTTCAGATTAAATATGCGGACAATAGAGTCGTCGGATGAGACCATCAGATGAGTTCCCGATTGATTCCAATCCATTGAATTCACTTTATATGACGAATCGTCATTCTTCTGGAACCGAGTGTATCGGATCTGATGAAAGTCACTACAAAATACACATTAGTTATGACTGACTGTACAATATAGTGGACAACGAGTGGACAACAAGTGGACAACAAGTAGACACTTACGTCAGTAGCCTTTCATCCATCTGTGAGCTGGTCTTCATATCAATGGGTTGGACACCGACCAGACTGTTGGCCAACAAATTGCTTTGAATGCCGTATTGTATCATTTGTTTGACTATCAATCACTTCAACGAATCAATCAATCAATCATTCATTTAATGTTTTCATATGTTTTGTTGTAAACAATAATCAAAACAAAAGATTCATAAAAACAATTAAATTTTAATAAATAAATAAATGTTTCAAAAGTTTAAACATTGAATCACATGACAGACATTATATGCATTATATTGTATTGCATTGTATTGTATTGATTGCAATATTATTAATAATTATTACAATATTAGAGATTTGTTTCAAACGGTTTAGATATTTATATTAACACTACTTAAGTATTATAAATAATTGATATTTTTTTAAATAGATAAGTATTTATATAAAATTAATTATTAAATTGCTTTAAAATTTGTTATATAATTAATTTTTAATTATTAATATATTTAAAAAAATAACAATTAATAATAAATAGATTATTAAATAAACGAAAAGATTGCAAAATAAATGTATTATTATTTCATCTGTTTTTCTAATCTATTGGAAAATATAATATAATAAACAATAACGTAATTTATGAATGTTATTAAATATAGTCAATTAAGCGCCACTTCAAGCAATTGGTTGACAATATTTTGTTCAACAATTCATATACAAAATACACAATAAATTTCTACATTTATTACACGTTTACTGTATTCTTAATACTAAAAAATATTAATAAATTAAAAAAACTTATAAATATCGAGACATCTATTGATTTGATATTTAAATGTAATTTCAAATATAATGCAATAATTTTTTTTATAAATACTGTATTCAAAGCATACTCTGTACTAACAAATAATTTAATAAGCAATCAATTAAATACAATGTATTTATAATAATAAAAAAAATTATGATTGTAATTATTAACTAAAATTTATTTTTCATAAAATGATTATTTAATACTATATTTTATTTATATTAATTATATTAACCACGTTTAGTATATATTTAATTTACTGTATTTATTTAGCATGTTAAATTATTATATTTTATTAGTATTGTAATAAATATTATTATTGATTTTTGAAAATTAACAAATAAAAGTTAGATTTTATAGTTTTTTAAAAATATAAAAATAATAATTAAACGAATTAATATTTTTAGAAATTATTTATATATAAATTTAAAAAATCATATTTAATTGATATTATCTTTCATTGATTTGAAAAAAAATAAAATTAATGAAAAAGTCATTTAAGAAAATTGTTGTAAAAATGTTATATAAATCTTAAATAAATTAATTATATATAAAATAAAATTTAAAAAAACTGAGTGGAAAATGTGTTTTGAATTTTATTTATGATATTATTATTATTAATATTTATAATAATGATTAATATAATTAATTTTCATGATTTAATGTGTGCCTAAATGTGTACGAAGTGCTCATTAAATTAGAAACAAGTTTTCTTAAATACAAAAGAGTTATATCACATGTTATGTCCCATTAAAATACATATAAATTTAATTTTTTAGACAAAACTTTAAAACATTTTTTACTTTTAATCCAATGGTTTTTTAGCTAAAAAATTTATTTATTAAAAACCAACAAAAATGAGTGATTGATCTCTTGAGGCAAAACTCATTATCTGAGGTCTAATTATAATTATTTATATCAAACGTTCAAATGTGATGTAAATCTTATTGTTTTTTATTGTTGTATTAGTTATTGTTGTTGTTGTAGTTATTTAGCAAATTTATATATTTATAAAATACATAAATAAACTTTTACATGTTATAAGAGTTTAAATATATTTTTAAACGTTAATTTCTATTCAGGATCAAATTTATATTATTTGTTAATATTAATACATTTTTAATAGATATTTACTTAATTTAAATTAACACATGCTATATGCTATATTTATATTGTCTAAAATTAAATTGAATATAACAAAACAAAATATTCAAAAAAATAAAACAAAAATTTTAATTAAGAGATATTTAATTAATAGTTTCATACAAGATTGAAGGATAAATAAATGTTAAAAATGTGATTTGAATTATAATTAAAATAAAAGAAAGTATTACAATTTACGTAAATTAAAAAAACTAGTGTAAACTTATTAAAACAATATATAGTAATCAATCATTAAAAAAAATATCTTTTAGATTCATTATAATTCATTGCAATTGTAATGACAAGTGAAATGTCATCCCCGGAAAAAAACAAATATTTTATGCATTCATTTAAATTCAAATAAAAAAAAAATTCTTAAAAAAATAAAGTAAAAATCAATGTTTTGTTGAGTTTTATTAAATTAATTTGCTATTCAAAAGTTGTTTTGTAAGTAAATTTATTTGAAATAAACTAAAAATACAAATGAACGACAACGCCATTGGATTATTGCAAATATTATTATTAATAATATTTTTTATTTTACAAATAAAATTGTTTTTATAAAATCAAGGATTTTTATAAATATTGTTTAAATTACTGTAAATATATCTAAAATATTTTTTTAACTAATAAATTTAATAAATTATAGTACATAAAATAGTTTATAATAAATTTATTTGCTGTCAAATATGTAAAAATTATGTATATATTTTGTAATCACATCGTCAAACATTTATATGCAATTTTTTTAATTAAAATAATGTCTTAATTTAATTCAATTTATAAAATACTGATTATTAATATAAAATGAGTGATAATTGTTAAATAATCTTTAATTAAAGTTTCTACTTTAGAAAGCTAACTGTTATAATGTAAAACATAATGACCAAGAATAATTTTGTAAATTTAAATTACTTAAAAGATTACTTTCATTCAAATATATTAAAACAATTTTATTTATGTAAAACTTTTTAGTTATGATTTAAAATAGTAATTATTAGTATATTTAAATAATAACCTTTAAAAATAATTTGCTCTAAATATAATATTACTTTAATAAAATCAATACTTTAGTATTTTGCAAAATAAATAAAAATGTATTCAATAATATAATTATTTATAGCTGAAATAAACAACAACAATATTATTGCTATAATTTATTTGTTTTATTTAATTTAATATAAAAATAAAAAATTCATAATACAAAAATAAAATTTCAAATATAGCTAAATCTAATAATAAACTGGCCCCCAAAAAACATAATAAAAACTTGATATTAACTTTAATTTAAGTCAAATGTTTTTATTTTATTTAATATAATTTATATGTATACCATTTTTAACCATATTTAGATTTAATATTACAATTTTATTTAAAGTTAATTTTAGTTTTAACAATTTTCTTTAATGACAAATGTCTTTTCTATTAATATAAATTTAAAATAAATCAATATATTTTTTGTTACTTATTTTACTATTTAATTATAAACAACTACAAACTCCAGTAGTAATTAATTTATGACTCGATATTTTCTATAGTTTACAAAATAATTTAAAAGGTTTTAATTTAATATTGTGCTAATATGTGACTTAATTTGAAATAGTAATATACATTAAGGCAATTAACAACTTTGGGTTTTTAGTGAAATTATAACTTGAAAATAATTTAAACCTTTTTTTATAAAGAAATTATATTTTATATACTTTACTATATATTATTATACTATAAATTAAAATCTATTATAAAAATTCTAAAATAATTACACCATATAAAGAGTTAACTTAGTCTCAATGCAATAAAATTATTTGGTTTTTTAATTATAATATAAGTGTAAAATATTATAAACTAAATTAAAAATTAATGTAAATTAATCTTGTATTGCAAAACTTCAAACAATAAATTAATTGAGTTAAATGACATGCATCTTATAAAATATTGAAGTAACATAGTATCAAAACATATTATTAAAACATTATAATCATTTTTATTACATTTTAAACTGTAGTTTTAAAAATTTATTAATAATATATAGAATTGATAATTATTGAGTGTATGCTATTACAAATGTAAAATTAAAAAATAAATATACAATTAATAATGTAATTATTGAATGAGAAAATATTTATTATAAAAGAAAAGTTTGTATCAATTACTATAAAATAAACTAAACTAAACTAAATTAACATTAATATATATATATACCTAATTTGACAAAACAATTGTCAAAATATTATTTATCTAAATCAAATATAATATAAATTTAAGAGACAACAATTAACATGTGATACAAATCGTGTTTATATCATATCATGAAATAAACATTAATAATAAGTTAATAATATTTTAACACACAATTGTCATAACATTAAACAATATTATTTCAAAATCATAGCTGTAAAACAACTTAAAGTATTAATTTTTAAATAATAAATGATTAAACAAATATACTTAATATTAAAAAATAAACTTTTATTAATTTAATAATTTAATGGATATTTCATGATAGTAAACACTAAACTTTGGTTTCAATTGATTGATTATTAATATACAATACTGTGACATAAAAATAAATATTTTGATTTCAAAATCATTTATCTATTTTAAAGTACATTAATATAAAATTGACAAAAGGAATTGCTATCAATTTTAATAAATTTATCATTTATTTAATTAATATATTTTTAAAATATAGATAAATAAATAATCTTGGAAATTTTATTGTTTTTTAGCAATTTTTAAATCAGATTCATATTCATACATTAAATATCCATTTTATTGTTGTTTATTTCACTGATTAAAAACTTAACATTGAAATTATATAACTCTTATCTAACATTTAATTTAATCTCTTGATCTCACTTCAGGTGAAACATTGAAACTAAGAGACAAACAAAAAAGTAAATAAATGTTTATTATTTGTGCGGTTTATAAGTATATTTTGAGTGAAAGATTATCTCAATAAATCTGATTTTAATTTAGATTTCATCAAATCATTTACAGTCTCATTGATTTAAGAGATGTTTTGTTTTTTTCAATTTTGGTTTTTGCACACATATGTGAATACACTGCCATAAAAAATAAATAATAAAAAATGATTTAAAACCAAAGCATCACAACACTAGCAAACTGTTAAAACCAGATAAAAACCACTGAAAAAATATAATTACTGTTAAATCGGAAAAAATAGAAATTTTCGAAAAATATTTATCAAAAAATGTTTTAAGATTTTTAATTATATTTAGTTATTTAATAAAAATAATACTGGTATAACAATAAGTGAATTATATAATATTTAATAAATATA